GGGACACTTGCCCCATCTGGTGCTTATATGTTCCCCTTGTGTGGGTGGTGGGTACAAAACTTCGGTATTTGATATTTGATTTGCTTTGCAAAGGTCATAGAAATTTGGCTGCTATGTCTATATAAGGGTATCTCCTCACATGCTAAGTTCACCAACACAAGGACTCCTGCCACCCTGTACTAAGCACCATGGGTCATAAAGACTACCCCAACCAGGCACAGTACCACTGCTATGGCACTCTACCATGGTGAGTTCTTGAGTGCACCCATGGTAACATGCCGCTACATGGCCCACATTTTGTGGTATTCACCACCACTAAGGACGTCATCTACCATAGAATGCCCGGTGCACCATAGGAGTGGGCCATTGAGACATATTAATTTGCAAGTATAAAAAGCCTTAAAGATTTGTAAAAGGGGGGGACTGAAGTGAATCTGGTACGCGATGTCAAATCTGGTGACATGTGTCACCTAAGCGATGCCATCCCTCATATACGAGGCGCTCCGTCAGGAACGGCTGGGCACACTCGGAGACGGCTGGCGGGGAAATCAAAATCTCAAGGACTTCGTCGAGGAGTCGACACAATAATTCGAATTTAAGCCCTTCGTGACCTTCCGTTGTTACGAAAACCCTATGATTACACAAGGTTATGTATACTGAGCTGATATACTGAGTTTGAGGAGCGTTCAAGGAGAAAATGTTCTCCCCATACGCGAGGGCTGAAATAAACTGGCTAGCTGAACGGCTTGGGTAGAGCGAAAAGGTAACACTGAGATACTATTAGAAGACTAGACATGCAGTCAGTGAAAGAGACGAGCAGCAAACACACCGAGCAAAAGAGAACATACCTTATAAGTCTGTGTCAACCAACGCGGCTTCTAGTTCAACCCAATCAATGTTATTAGTACCATCCTCTTCCTCTGCGAAATCCCCGTCCATGTCGAAAGAGACATCTTCAGCGTTCACAAGCGACAATTCGGGTCCTGAATCATGGGTTCTCTGTCAGACATGCAACAACTCTGGGTGAATCAACGTACCTGTAGCCCCTGTCTGCAGCTCCGAGTCATCCTCATCGTCGCCCGTGCTCACAGACCCACCAAGTTCGGGGGCTGTATCTATCTCTATCTCGAGACCCATATGCGCGTCCAACGTGTCCGTTGAGTCGACATTATCCCTAGCGTTGCCGGCTACGGACGCTGCCTGGCGGGGTGTTGCGGGGCTGTTATGCATGGGTTGATGAGCCGCTGCTTTGGGGCCAGTGAGCGGAATCGTGCGACGTCTTGTCTGAAGACGTCGCTGGTGCTCGTTAAACTGATATAGCGGATTAGTTGTCCCGAATGCAAGGCTTTCCGTACCTGCAGAAACGACGTCAACTGGCGGTGACTCTTCGCTGCTGAACGTTCGGCCATCACGGATTTGGTATACCTGGTGAAGGGCCAGTGAGTCCATGAGAACCTTGATGTCGGCGGAAAGGTTGGGTATTGCATGACGTGTCCCCTGCTTCGCTCCAATGGCTGCATGTATGTTTGTCGCAAGCTTGCGTAGGACATCCACGCATGGTGCAATTACTCGCAACCATTCCCAGGAGGCGTTTGACCCGTGTGCTTGATAGTAATTCTGCGAACATGAGAGGTAGGTCAAAATAAATAATTACAAATGTCCTTGCGATTACCTTAGTCCAAAAATTAAGGTGCTCCTGCACCAAGTCCACCTCTACGAATGCGTTTGCCCGTCCGGTCGGGTTAGCGAGCCAGTTGTCGAAGATGGCGCGTCTGCCAGAGGGTGTAAACAAGGTAAGCGTGTGGCCTACCGCGCACAAACAAACACTCACTTGATTCGTTCCGGCCACACGTTCTGTATGTTGTGGATCAATACCATCGTTTCATACGCATACTTATTCCTCCCAGCCCCACGATAACTCATCACCCACACCTTCAGAACGTTCACAACGCGACCAGAATCACCAATCTTGATGGCGTCAGTGAATTCCCGCAGCAGAAGTGCATCGCGCAAGAAGAGCAAGGCACTCTCGAAAACCATATCTCCGCCCAAACCGTCCTCTCGCTCCTCCCGAAGTGTCTCAGCCCATCCAGCATCAGTGTACTTGGAAACCACAGTGTCAGCGTGCTGCCGAAGACCTTCGAGTGTGAGTCCATTAGCCAGCTCTTCGAGCGTGGCCTTGCCTGACACAAGCAGCATGCAGTGAAGCACCCGCGCATATAGCGACACAAAAGCCAAGTCCCGGCATGTACGGAAAGGCGGGAGTGCAGATGGGAGAACCACTTTGCGCTGGAGGATGGCGTTATGTGCGGAGAGAGAGGCTGGGTTCGATAGGTCGTGATTTGGTAAACCGAGGTGGGTGATCATGATTGCGTGCGTCGCCGCCATCTTGTAGTGAAATAGTCCTGGCATCCAGACAGCCCACCTGAGAGCGCCCGCACCACCCTCATTCCCTGCTCGTGTCGCCTCTATCACCCGGTCTCTTGCAATAGTTGACTGATCCCCGGCAATGAACTTCACTGTTTGTGCAAAGTCGGTGCTCGAGTCATCAAGGTGCAGCTCGCGGAAGACCGTCTTCAGTACGTTTAAGTTTCCCAGTGTTGAAGACTCATCTATATCCATAGCAGGGAGGGGGTATATGTCGGTCTTGTGCACCTCAATCCGATGCTCGGATGCGGGCATACATTGAAGGACCTCGGGTGTCAGGTGAGCAAGTTGCGGCCCACCATAGCGAACAACGATCCGCATAACACAATGAACGAGTGACTCGTACAGGGCATTGTCTTCTCCTCGAGTAAGGCGTAAGTCCTTTAGTTTCAGGTTGTGTGCCTTGTCCGCGTTTTCAACGAGGTCAGCGGTCTGCAGGTCATCCCAGGACGTGTTCCAGAGTGGAATGAGAGTTGCGCAAGTCCCATTCTCTTGGGTATCTATTTCCTCAAAGGTGAGCACGTCTTTTACATTCATGTAATGACCTGACTGACCCTTTCTTCCCATAACCTGCTCCGCAACCCTCCACATCATGTTGATGTTGTCGTACACCACGAGGAACGGCGACGTCTTCGCTATCTTGCGTGTTGCTGCTCGGACTGACTGCGAAAGGACTTCCAAGGTTCCCAATTGCCTCGGCCATGTATCCTCGGTGAGGCCCTTGTGTCCTCTACCTGCCAATGTAACATAGCTCACTGAACTTCCGAGCCGATTGAAGATAGTGATGAGCTGGCGTGAAGCCCCTCCGGCATACATATAAAGGCCAAGGACATGTCGTGAGAGTGAGTTGCGGATACTACGTTCGCCCAGTAGTGTGAGTGCTGCCTGTTGTATAACCTCACTTGAACTAAGGACAGTAACCCGACTGGTGACGGACGATTACTCACAAACTCCTTATGCTCAAAATATGCCCCTCCGCATTCCTCTTTCTGTCGCTTTGTTGTGGCAAACCGACGCAAGACCTCAAGAGTTACTGGTATGTGTTGACTGATCTTCTGAAGGGTAGAAGTGTAACTGAAGTCCGCAAGGAATTGAGCCGTGATACCATTAGATTCCGTCAGGAGAACACGACTCGACTTAACGGCCTCCCCCTCTTTCTCTAGCACCCCTCCCACCCGATTGACAGCCCATTGGGTAAGCATCTCCTTTTCCTCCACTGGCCTCTCGCTCTCCGCCCACTTGTTCAGGAAACCAATAACATCCCAGCCACTGCACTCCTCCAACTCCCGCTTGCCCCTCTCAGAGGAGACATGTTGGATAAGGTCGCCAAATGTAGATCCTGCCGCCCGAAGGCCTGCACTGGCTGCTGCAAGGGCTTGTGCTCGACGAGTATCCCACCCTCGTTGACGAGCGAGGGAGATGGCTGCCGCAACTGAGGGAAGGCGAGACAGAGTGGGTGTCATCTGCTCTGTGGGGTCATCGGGTGGGTCTGAGCTGAAGATAGCTGACGATAGGGGTGAGGAGCCATATAGGATGGTCTGGGCATTGTATGGCACAGAGGGCCTTGTGGGTGTGTAGGTGGGATCGTTGTTGAAGCTCATGTATAGTCACTGGAAGCAATGGGAGCGTGGATTGCTGAGCTTCTGCTGGCGCTGAGTGCTGATGAACCGCGCTGACGCGTGACGAGTGTTCAACCTCGGTAAAAGTCGCGCAGTGTGTTGCGTTGCTGCTTGCCCTTGCACAATGCCGACCCCACCTCTCGCTCCTCATGCTACTGCTCACGTCCATCCAAGAACCCCACCTGGGTCACCCCGCCGGCGTGTTCATACTCCTCCTCGCAGCCTCATAGCACGTCCGCTCTCACCACCACCCAAACTCACTCGAAATGAACAAGATCGCCTGCACGCTTGCATGACGGAGGCCTTGGGTGGCCAGACACCTCATTCATTCCAATTCGAAATTGCTGTTGCACAAGAACAACGTCAAGATGTGTTGTGTCACGCTGCAACTGGGAAGGGCAAGACGTTTGTGGCTGCCGCTCCTTACAAACTTCAGCATAACGTGGACGAGAAAAGGGTGACATTGATGGTGTCACCGCTCATAGCTCTACAAGATGAAATGGTATGTTAACCTTGGCAACTTCTATTCAATTCTGCTATGTAGCTTATTGTCGCCTTAAAGGTTGAGACGTTCAAAGACGAGTTTGGAATTGACGCTGTCGCTATCAACAGTAACCATGGGGGGCTCAACCGGAATGTACTGGATGTGAGTGCTACTATCATTGTTATGATCTACCCTTTTCCTAACACTGCCCAATATTAATAGCGGGTTGTCAATGGTGACTTCCGCATCGTCCTCCTTGCCCCTGAAGTTCTCCTTTCGCGGATTTTCATCGACACTGTCCTACGCAATAAGAAGTTCTTGCAACGCATCTACTCGGTTGTCGTTGATGAAGCTCACTGCATCTCACACTGGGGTGACAGTTTCCGTAAATCGTACAGCAACGTCGGCGGTATTCGGGTTTTCTTGCCCAAAAATACTCCTTTTATCGCTGTTTCTGCGACGCTGACTCGCAGAGTTACTAGAGATATCATCAGCAAACTCCAGCTCGGCCGTGGTTCACACTTTGTTTACATCAACATTGGCAACGACCGTGACAATGTCTCGCTGGCAGTTCGTGCAATACACCATGCCCAGAAGACACTAAGCGATGTGGGGTTTGTTGTGCCCTCCAATACCCAGCACCGTGAAGACATACCCAAGACATGGATCTACGCCGACGATATCAAGGAAGGGACTGCAATCACCAACTACCTCAATGAATGCCTCCCCGACCACCTCAAGAATACCGGGCTCATTCGCGAGTATAGCGCCGTCTTCAACAGTGATTACCGGACAGCTGCTATGAATCAATTCCGATCTGGGAGTATTCGGATCTTAGTGTGCACCGACGCTGCAGGCATGGTACGCGCTTACCTTTTGTTCCTCTTGTCAATCTGATGCTCATTTAGGGGTGCAACATCCCCGATGTTGATGTTGTCGTGCAATGGGGGCTCCCAAAAACCCTATCCTCATTTGTTCAGCGTGCCGGGCGAGCTGCACGCGGTCGCGGGAAGGTGGGGCTGGCAGTGCTCCTCTGCGAGCCGTCAGCCTATATGGTTGACCTCACGAAGGCCCCGGCATCAGCTCCACGCAAGAAAGGGGCGCCTTCCAAGCTCACCACCGACGCAGCGGCATCAGCACGGGAAGCGTCTCGAGCGTACGCGGTAGCTCATGGCCGTAACAGGGGTGGACTAAGCAGACAAGACGATCTGCTAACTGCCCAGGAGCCAGAAGTAGATTTGGACACACCAGACGAGGGACTGCTCTACTTCATTCAGACCACAGCCTGTCGTCGTCGTATCCTGACGAAGGTCTTTGATAATCCTCCCCCTGGTGCGTTAACATGCTCGTTGTACAGTCTGCATAGCTAATCAATGGTACTTGTAGCTCCTTCGGTACCTTGCTGCGACATCTGCTCTCCGGCGCTGTTGGACAGGATTCGACCACGCGAGAAACCTGCCGCTTCATTGCGCACTGCAAGGACAAAGAAATGCGAACCCAGAGCCGACATCATCACAGCAATCAGGTTGTGGCGAAAGCGAGCATTTCAGTCCTTGCCTGGCTGTCGACTCTACGCCCCGAGTACTCTCCTCCCCAACTCTGCCGTGTCCGACCTTGCATCCATGACCCCTCTCACTGCCGAAACTATCCGGAACTGGCTCGAGCCCCGTTGGGAGTCAGAAGCGTGGCGGGCGTATGGGCGAGAGCTGACCGAGGCCATCCTTGAGGCGGCATCAGAGCCTGTTCCGGAGGCCAGCGTTGATCCGCCAGTGCATTCTCCCTTACGGCGATCGAGAACGCCGCCCAGTCCCGCTCCCATCCGTAACAAGCGACCACGGCAGGCCACAGCTGCACTGCCACGTTCTCGGGGTCCGTCACCAGACATCTCTGCGCCATCAGCCCCTACCCCCTTTGACCTTGCACGCCCACTGTTCGTTCCCTCTCAGCAGCACCTCGCACCTTCCCAGCCTGCTACCCCTATCCCTTCTATTCACCATCCTCACCTTCCACAGCGCTCGCCCTTGTACCTGGTTCCTCACATTCGCCCCACTTCGCCTCAGCACCCTCCCTCACATCAGCTCCCAATTTTGCACCAGGCCCCACCATCGCACCAGCCCCCACTCTTGCTTCAGCCTCTACCCTCGCACCAGCCTCCGCCCTCGCGTCAGCCTCCATTCTTCCACCAGCATCCTCACTCACGCCAACATCCGGTCCCGCTCCGCGACCAGCACGACTACTCGCGCCTGTTGCCACACACACCGATACCCCGCGCTCCCATAACTGGCGTTGAGGTCTGGCTGCAGCCATCCGATGCGGCTGGATTTGCGCGCCCGCCAACTGAAACTCACGCGCCCGGACCATCATATATCCTACCCTCAGCTCCCTCTTCCACGCAGCGTGCGCTGGAGCCATCTAGGCAAGCAACGGTGGCAGCACTTGCTGTCCCGTCCCAACCTCTCCTACAGCAAGTGCCGTCTCATCTCCCACTTCTGCGGGGTTGGGACTCACAGCCTCAGGCGTTTACTGGGCCCATGCCTACCCATTCCCGTCAACATCAAGCTTCACCTCATCCCATGTACGGATACCCCGGTTCACGCGCACCCTCGCGTCGTGCGGGGCCTTTGGAACCACCTGTGGAGCAGTTGGGTTCTTCATCTATTCCTGTCCCGCATCACCACGGCACGTTCGCGTCAACACCTATACCCTCTTATTTTACCCACACACCATCTACTCTAACTGCCCCTACTCGCTCCCCACATGTTTCTCTTGATCCCTCAGAGGCGTTGTGTCCTCCGGGAGATTGGGATGGGGCATTGAACCCCTATTATCGCAGTTTCTGACCTTACACCTTCGTCGATCCAGCAATCCATGTCATACTCATAGATTTGGCTCATCATGTATGTACGAGGCATAATCCTGACTTTTACATTGTCTAAGCGCGAGGGAGGCTCAAAACTTGAGATTTTGTGTCAAGCTGGGGAGGAAAACCCTTGAGACTTGAGTTACCCCGCCAACAGTTTCCGAGTGTGCCCAGTCGTTCTGCAGATTACGCTGCAAACGTCAACGGAAATTGGATATGTCACCGCCTGACAGCGGCTTGACAGCTCGTGTGCCCCATACTATGCCTGTGCCCCCGATGAAACAACGCGCCTGTCGTGAAACATCCTCGACTTGCACTCAGTCCCTTGACCGCATACTCCTACAATGACCTTCAAAAACTCAGTATTCATATATCTCAGTGTCTTCCGTAGCGTGAGACAAAACGACAGACTTACCCGTTGTCTGGGAGAGATGCCAGCGAGATGCCGGCTTCCACCGTGCTAAACCCCCTATCTTCCATTTGCAACATTCCAACGTTTATATGTTATGTTTATCTAAACATTGGTGTGCACAATTAGTGTACAGTGCTCTTTGGGTACCAGGCATTTCGTCACCGGAAGCTCAAAGTAATTGGGCAACATTTAACCCAGTGCCCTGACCAGATAAGCATTGAAGGGTAGAACACACAAGCGTCTTTCGAGCCGTATTTACTCAATTTTAGGATCTAGCTTTTGAGCTTCGACTATATTATCAAATAGACCTAGCACGGCCCACAAACAAATTTTGGGAGGTAATGGTTGAGAGACGCGTTCAAGATACTTGAAATACATGCATGTTTCACGATGGGCGCGTTGTTTCATCGGGGGCACAGGCATAGTATAGATCAAAATCGAGCGGATGATCTCGGATGAATAAGCGTACATCTGCAGAAAAACCGACTGGTACCGAGTCTAGATGCCCTCTATCGCGAGGTATGGCGACTGTCGGATCTGATGGGAGGGCTAGACGAGGATTTATGCGAGAGGGTGGACAACGGAAGGGTGATTGTGAGTGTTATACTGTCGCAGATAGCAACCTCCAGCGCTGTAGCTGACGTGAACTGTTCATAGACCTTCCGACGCCCCTTTCATCACGAGGACTGGAAAGCCCTAAGCCGTTTAACTTTCCGTGTCCGAGTATTACATCTCCACGCGAGTCACTATGATTTCTATGCGCTTCGTAACAATTCCGTGCACGGCGATGCCTTTGACGCAGTTCTGGCTCATACATCTACCCCATCTGCGCTCTTTCCACGTTTGAGGCACCTTGATGTTGGATGGCACACTCTGAAATACATGGTACCTGGGCTGGTCTCCCATGGCAACACTCAAGTTCTTTTTCGTTCATACGCTCGAAAGCCTTCACGTTAGGAATTTTAAAGAAACTCGACCTCATATTGTCCTTCATGCAGTGAGCCAGCAGTGTAAATCGCTCAGGTACCTCAACTTCTCGTCTCGTGGCGGTCAAATATACAACAGCACAGTGGAGCAGCTCGCTGGAGCATTCGCCCAGATGACTTCTCTGATCTCAATTCGCCTCTTTGATCTATGCATGTCTAAACACGTTTCATGGCTTCCTGCCATCGCGTGCGCGCCCTCCCTTCGCATGCTCATCCTCACGACACAGTCTGCCTCCGATATCGTCATGAATCACTGCAAGCTGATCTCGGTCTCGCATTTTTCCATGGGTGCAGAGCTAGTATGCTCAAATTCGTTCCCTGAATTGATCAAGGCCATCAGTGAAATGCTATCTCCGTTGCATACCACCTCCATTCGGCTCTCTTGTCGGAAAAATCCCAGGAATATGGCCATATAATTGAAATGTATTGAAATCGCCTCATAATGAATCAAGAATTAAAATACATTCCAATGGGACCCTTTGGTCATCATGATAGCTATTTTAAATTGATTACCATGGAATTGAGAACCAATTGAGAACATCCCTATGATGGAAAGCAGCCTCGTCCAATGGAATTTCAATGTTCACGTCGCTTTACAACGGGGATTGCAAACCTATCTGTTGAATAAAGCGAGACGAGAATGACACGACGTCAGTCTCGGCGTCATGAGTAAAGTCACGTGCTCTCCGCAGCGCGCTGACTGAGGTTACTCCTGTTGTAATGAATTTAGTAGTCGGACGGAGCTACACTTGAAACCGATGGCAAGCCGTGCCCATAGAATTCGTATGAGTAATCTAAAGTAGAGGAGGCCTATAGCCCCTACAAACTAGTAGTATAAATAATAGACGAACTCGAGCAAGGAAAACTCAGCTCGCACTGCTCTCATCCGCTGTGTGATTCTCTCAACCTAAGTGGTTATGAGCCCCGCACGTTTCTAAAACCCCCATCCTCGTACATGCCGACAAACTTGCATCTCGGGTATAACGACCCGCTCTCACGCCTCACTTCTCTATATCCGTCTCGCGCGGCATCCCCAGAC